TTTTATAAATAAATAAATATTAAAATAATTTCTCTTTCATGAAATTCAATGCAACTTGACTACAAGTTTATCGTGACAACTGACAAACATGAATTCCAAATAACAAAAGATTAATAAAAAAAAAAAAAGGAGAAGTTAAGCGGCGGTATCTTATACAGCACCGTTTTTTTATCTTTTAATAAATCCCCAACTTCTCCGTATCATCATCATATTCTTCTCTCCACTCTCTCTCTCTAGTAATCAAACTGAAAATAGTCCTACTGCCGGAGTGAAAAAAAAATGCTATCTTCCAAAATCGCTAACCCTAGCTGCGATTCCTTCCCTCCTCTGAGAAGAGCTTCGTCGCCTCCTCGCGCCGCTTCAATGGCGATGTGCGCGTTGCCTTCTCTACGAATCAACTCTCTTTGCAGGCCTCGTGCTTTCGGAATCTCCATTACGTCGACTCGGACTGGTCTTCTTAGTTCGATAGGTCTTGGTGACAGTTTTCGTTTACTTGATAGGCGGATTTTGTTTGATCGTTCAATTGTGGCTTTTTCAGCTTCGCGTGAGGAATCCGTGAGTTAAAAATCGTTTTGTTTATGCTGAATTTCATTGTTTAATTGTTCATTTCTGTTCTTGGAAGCCTGCATTTCCGATTAATAGGAATGGAGTGGAGGATGGTGTCGTTCTTGCATTTCCGATGAAGAGGAGTGGAGAGGATGGTGTTGTTGAATTAGTTCAATTTCAGGGTTCGTGTTTAGGGAATGAGTAAATGATTGTATTTTTTGATTATCAACCAGATCTTTTCGATTAGTATAATTGCAGTTTTGTTTGACATGGACGTAGCATTTAGTGAGGGTTTCACTGTGTTCTGGATCCAATCTAATTCCGTTGTGATATGCAGCATTGTTATTAAATGAGTTTTCATTTTCTAGTTACTATCTTTGTTGTTAGTTTCCTTGGGGTTATAATCCTTTTTTTGGCTTAATTGTCTGAAGTAATAGCTAGTGTTTGATTTTGATGCCAGAAGCATTCAGAAATTGAGGTAGAGAAGGAAAAAGAAGATCTTGACTTCCACGCTGAAGAATCAAAAGAAGCATGGAAACAGACTCTAGCTTCCTTTAAAGAGCAGGCATTAAAGATGCGAAGCATGTCTCAAGAAACATATGAGATGTACTCTAAGAGAGCAATGATCATTTTGAAAGAAACTTCGGAACAGCTAAAAATTCAAGCGGAAAAGGCCAGAAATGATTTGACTGAAGCAGCGAGAGAAATCAGCGAAGA